GGATTCGAAAATGCAATGATACACAGGGTGTTCCATTTAAGTGTTCCAATGTTATTACCACTTACCCTCGGTTAACCAGGTACTGAATATATACGTGGAAGTTGCTCAGATGAGTATTGTGTAGAAATGAATAAATGATTCAACAATTAGAGTAACTTTGTTCTATGAATATAAGTAGAAAAACTGAAAAAATAATTCGATCTATCGAACCACTTACTCATTAAGGCGATCGTGAGGTGAAAAGTCGCTTGCTAGCTTGTATCATAGATTAAAAAAACAACTTGTATGATACTTGCTTCAATCTCTAATTGACAAAGAAAACTATAGGATTTTCCAAGTACTCAGTCGTTAATCCACAGGAGTGATTCTTCAATGAAGAAAAGTTGATGATAAACATTCTACTTTGCTATCAGGTTTCAGGTTATTGAAAAATATAAACGGAATGCAATCAAATATATTTATTTACAAAATCAGACATTTTCAGATGATACAAACACAGTTCACAGTTTCATCCCATATATATATATATAAGTAAAAGATTGTAGGTTCAATCCGTTCCGTGAGTGGAATGTCAATTGGTGCAAGACAGTCTGTTTCAGCTCGCCAAGCATCATCAGTTGCACTAGGCCAATCGACAATCCACTCGCGGACCGGTCACTATTTGAAGACCAACAGGTAGTCTTCAACAGTGCGGAATACGGATGTTTGGTACAGTGCCACCTACTAGCACTAGACAGAAACGTGCTTTTCGGGCAGCGACGTAGGAGTACAGATATCTCTGTTACTACACCTACGTGCCCCGAGTGCACCTCGATAGTGTGGTATGGACCACAGACAGAGTACAGAAGAAGAAGAAAGATAGTGTGTATGAACACAAAGCCAGAGTATGAAGTAAAAGATTGTAGGTTTAATCCGTTCCGTGAGTGGAATGTCAATTGGTGCAAGACAGTCTGTTTCAGATCGCCAAGCATCATCAGTTGCACTAGGCCAATCGACAATCCACTCACGGACCGGTCACTATTTGAAGACCAACAGGTAGTCTTCAACAGTGCGGAATACGGATGTTTGGTACAGTGCCACCTACTAGCACTAGACAGAAACGTGCTTTTCGGGCAGCGACGTAGGAGTACAGATATCTCTGTTACTACACCTACGTGCCCCGAGTGCACCTCGATAGTGTGGTATGGACCACAGACAGAGTACAGAAGAAGAAGAAAGATAGTGTGTATGAACACAAAGCCAGAGTATGAAGTAAAAGATTGTAGGTTTAATCCGTTCCGTGAGTGGAATGTCAATTGGTGCAAGACAGTCTGTTTCAGCTCGCCAAGCATCATCAGTTGCACTAGGCCAATCGACAATCCACTCACGGACCGGTCACTATTTGAAGACCAACAGGTAGTCTTCAACAGTGCGGAATACGGATGTTTGGTACAGTGCCACCTACTAGCACTAGACAGAAACGTGCTTTTCGGGCAGCGACGTAGGAGTACAGATATCTCTGTTACTACACCTACGTGCCCCGAGTGCACCTCGATAGTGTGGTATGGACCACAGACAGAGTACAGAAGAAGAAGAAAGATAGTGTGTATGAACACAAAGCCAGAGTATGAAGTAAAAGATTGTAGGTTTAATCCGTTCCGTGAGTGGAATGTCAATTGGTGCAAGACAGTCTGTTTCAGCTCGCCAAGCATCATCAGTTGCACTAGGCCAATCGACAATCCACTCACGGGCCGGTCACTATTTGAAGACCAACAGGTAGTCTTCAACAGTGCGGAATACGGATGTTTGGTACAGTGCCACCTACTAGCACTAGACAGAAACGTGCTTTTCGGGCAGCGACGTAGGAGTACAGATATCTCTGTTACTACACCTACGTGCCCCGAGTGCACCTCGATAGTGTGGTATGGACCACAGACAGAGTACAGAAGAAGAAGAAAGATAGTGTGTATGAACACAAAGCCAGAGTATGAAGTAAAAGATTGTAGGTTTAATCCGTTCCGTGAGTGGAATGTCAATTGGTGCAAGACAGTCTGTTTCAGCTCGCCAAGCATCATCAGTTGCACTAGGCCAATCGACAATCCACTCACGGACCGGTCACTATTTGAAGACCAACAGGTAGTCTTCAACAGTGCGGAATACGGATGTTTGGTACAGTGCCACCTACTAGCACTAGACAGAAACGTGCTTTTCTGGCAGCGACGTAGGACTACAGATATCTCTGTTACTACACCTACGTGCCCCGAGTGCACCTCGATAGTGTGGTATGGACCACAGACAGAGTACAGAAGAAGAAGAAAGATAGTGTGTATGAACACAAAGCCAGAGTATGAAGTAAAAGATTGTAGGTTTAATCCGTTCCGTGAGTGGAATGTCAATTGGTGCAAGACAGTCTGTTTCAGCTCGCCAAGCATCATCAGTTGCACTAGGCCAATCGACAATCCACTCACGGACCGGTCACTATTTGAAGACCAACAGGTAGTCTTCAACAGTGCGGAATACGGATGTTTGGTACAGTGCCACCTACTAGCACTAGACAGAAACGTGCTTTTCGGGCAGCGACGTAGGAGTACAGATATCTCTGTTACTACACCTACGTGCCCCGAGTGCACCTCGATAGTGTGGTATGGACCACAGACAGAGTACAGAAGAAGAAGAAAGATAGTGTGTATGAACACAAAGCCAGAGTATGAAGTAAAAGATTGTAGGTTTAATCCGTTCCGTGAGTGGAATGTCAATTGGTGCAAGACAGTCTGTTTCAGCTCGCTAAGCATCATCAGTTGCACTAGGCCAATCGACAATCCACTCACGGACCGGTCACTATTTGAAGACCAACAGGTAGTCTTCAACAGTGCGGAATACGGATGTTTGGTACCCTGACCGGTCCGTGAATGGATTGTCGATTGGCCTAGTGCAACTGATGATGCTTGGCGAGCTGAAACAGACTGTCTTGCACCAATTGACATTCCACTCACGGAACGGATTAAACCTACAATCTTTTACTTCATACTCTGGCTTTGTGTTCATACACACTATCTTTCTTCTTCTTCTGTACTCTGTCTGTGGTCCATACCACACTATCGAGGTGCACTCGGGGCACGTAGGTGTAGTAACAGAGATATCTGTACTCCTACGTCGCTGCCCGAAAAGCACGTTTCTGTCTAGTGCTAGTAGGTGGCACTGTACCGAACATCCGTATTCCGCACTGTTGAAGACTACCTGTTGGTCTTCAAATAGTGACCGGTCCGTGAGTGGATTGTCGATTGGCCTAGTGCAACTGATGATGCTTGGCGAGCTGAAACAGACTGTCTTGCACCAATTGACATTCCACTCACGGAACGGATTAAACCTACAATCTTTTACTTCATACTCTGGCTTTGTGTTCATACACACTATCTTTCTTCTTCTTATATATATATATATATATATATATATTATGTTATGTTATTCATTGAAATAATATCCAGAAACATTATGTATATATGATATATTTTTTAACTCTTCAATATACTCAACTTCTGGTGTTTTTTAGTTTCTCTTTTGTTTGACATGGACATGAATCTACACTCTTTATGAAGTTTACATAACGTTAAATGATCAACTATGTTATGTTCTCTGCATTCAACTTCGTTATCAAAGATGGGACACTTTTTCGACAGCTTTCTGAAAATTTTATTCTTGATGAATAGTTTTGTTCTATTTATATATGGTTTCTTGTGGAATGTTTTTGAAAAAGAAGAAAGAAGAGCTACATCAACCATAGTCTTGAATTCGTTAGTGGGGTATTTTAGATGTTGTATGTTCTTACCATAATTTTTATTGATTATCAATAATTGTTTTTCGTCATTCATTATATTGTCGAAATCGTTAACTATCAAATTATTTACACAATGATTACATTTCAATTTATCGATACATTTTTTTGCCAAGTATCCTGCAAAATAAGCATTCGAACAATCTTCCAGGGTTACAGGTGAATATTTATTTTCGAGTTTATTTTCCTTATCATTTGAGGAAGACGAGGATGATGGAATCACTTGATTTTCGAGTAAATTCTCTGTAGGAGGATTGTCAAGATTTTCCTCGACATTTCCATTCACATGACTAGTAGATGGAACTGTCATCAAATCAATATCATCATCTTCTTCACAATTACTTGAATCTGATGACTTCATTAAGTTCATTTTTGCTATGATACGAAAGGTACACCTGAAAGTTCTAACCGTTGGGTTTGGATTGAATCCGCCTCTTTGCCTTACACTTGAAAAAGTATTTTCAATAACATCTTGATTCAATCTGTTTGTTAATAAATGAGTGAATCCTAATTCTTTTTGTTCATTATGAATTCCCAATATAGAAGACAAAGTGATCAATATTCCATCAAAACAGTCAGGTCTAGAATATCCAGTTGTAGTAACTTTCTTGATTTCTATCAATGTATCTCTTGCAGAAATGATCGTATTTTCGACTATAGGGCGTTTATCGGACATTGCGCAACTATATGGATTCTTGGAATATAACTGCTTACTGTTCAAACAATCGAACAAATTATTCATCATCTGGAAGAAATCTGCTGTAGCAAGAGCAGTATCACTTTCTAATTGTTTGGTTTCATGACAAGTTCTAATAGCTGCGGCAACAGAATTGCTGAAAATTTGGAGTGCCAACCGACAATTCATTTTTTCGAATGCTGATGGATTCATGTGGGCAGGAGTGATCTTGAGTAAAGTCCTTCCTGTTGTACTACATGTGTCAATATTATATGTCTTCCTCACATCATCAAACGATACTCTCCTATTCATCCAGATGAAGTCATGGTGCAATAAATTATTTCTAAAGTTCTTGAACAAATGGAGCGGATCAAAAATAAAATATATTCTTCGGCCTTCGATTTCAAAATATGGTTTTTCAATGGAGACATGTAAATTCCTCATAGCTGCCTGGTTGTTTGTTCCCTGGTCACACACTACTGCCTTGACAATAAGGCCAGTATTTGTCACCTGTTAAATGGCTTTGATGATCACTCCTTTCAGGATGGTATGTTTCATAGCACTACCATAGACAAAATATCCTAATGGAATCTTCCACTTGGAATATAGTCCTCCGGCCAAAAGTACCATCACTTGTGTCCCCGTCGTCTTAGATCTACCACCTATTATTCCTTTGTCTTCGAATCCTTCAATTGTGTCCAATAACTTTGAATATTCAAATTTTCTATCAATTTTCATTTCATCGAAAACAATTGTGCAATATTTTTCTGCTTCTTCCATAACTTGCACTTTTCTTGTTATCTGTATAAAATGAAGTTTATCAAAACCAGGCCTAAATGAAGCGCCTCCAATCCATTTTCTGATTGTCGATAATGCAGGTAAATTAATCTTTAACTTTTGTCTTAGAAATTTGTACGTTGATGGAGACTTGTAGAATGTTAAGGGTGCGAGTTCTTTCTCATCTCTTGTCCAAATTGTCCTCTTCTTGTGTGAAATTTGCATACTGGTGACCGCACGAGAATACTTAGATTTGAACTGTATCTTGTTTGAAGTATTTTGCAGTTTATTAGTCTGTTTCAACATTGCACATTTATTCCTCAAATATGGAATTGTTGATCGTTCATTTTTCAAAAGGTTTCGTTGATGTTCAATGGTTTTTTTCATCTTTTTCTTTTTTGGACTGTCAGGAACATCATATAGATGTCTTTTGGATTTAGAACTGGTTGGCATGTTAGTTATATCATCTAGCCATTGTTTTGTTTTCTCAGACACATCTGAATCACTTGATTTTTTTCTTACAACGGAAGATTCTTGTAGCAAAGTGTCTGGCAAGAAATCTTGTAGCATAACGTTTTTGTAAGTTCGTACGGTTTTTTTCAAGTTCGTATCTGAAACACTGCCTGATAACTCCCAATAAGTCGATGGCAAAGGAGAGCTTTTTCGAATGCTTTTTTCATCAACAATTCCGCCGGAAAAATGTTTTGGGACAGCAGTTTTTTTCAATAACTTTCTATTCAAAGTATTTCTGTAATCATCCTCAGAGAAATGGTCTTCACAAACAACTTTATTCTTCATAAGTGTTCCTGGAGATATGTCGAGAAGGTTGACATGTCCTGAAAATATATTATAATTAAGTATAACATAACATTATAAAATCAATGCGAATCACAGCGCAACGTATTATGAATCCTGCGGGATCACATATTATTGTGTGTGCGTGATCAGTTATTATTGCATATTCATGAATAAGGTATACTTTATAAAGGGTGTCCCAGAATATTTGGGCAATCTCCCGAATCTGATTAGAATACATGAAAATGACATGACCATATATACCTATTATTTTCCTCTAGAGGGTGTATCTAAATAACACCGAAATAATTCAATGGGTGGTTACTTGTGATATTCTAGCAAATAAAGGTCATACAAACATATTTCCTATTTCGCTCCGTTTTTGAGATACAGGATGTTGAAGTTGAAAGTATTTATTATTTTTATAAATAAATAGTCCGTCCCTGGCAAACTGAATGAGCCAAATATCAATTTTTGTAGCAATACGTTCAGAATTGTTAAGGAATTCTGAGAAATTCTATTTTTATTCCTTAACTTTACCACACTGTATCTCGAGAACGAAGCATTTTCGGGCTGAGGTGAGTTGCTCCAAAATCGGTAGTATATTTTGATATCATGAATTTGTGCTGAGATTTTGAACAGACCTTTCAGGGATTATTGAAAAAAGAACAGTATTCCAGGGTGTACTTATAGAATCTATAGGAACTTGTCATGTTATTTTTATGTATTCTATCCGCATAGATTTCTGGGAGATTTCCCACATATTCTACAGGGTGTCCGCTAAGAGGAGGTCAATCCATTAACCATATATAGTTTCGAGACCTCCCCTCGTATGGTATGTCGGGTGCGAACAACAGGAAATAAAATCGGAATAAATTGAAACAAAAATTTCGGATTAGGTGGAATTTTGATATCCATGATTTTAATAGCTACTTGATGAAAGAAATAGCAGATCAGGATTGTCTGGGGATGTGTGAAAGATTTTGTGTATATTAAGCCACATATTTTCCAAAAGCTAAGATTTTCAGTAATTGAAAGGGCTCGCATGTGTATTCAAAAAATTGTAGGTCATATCGAGAAATTTATTTAGACGTGTTAAATTTCAATATTTTTATGTAAAAATTATTTTAATACATTTGCTCTGAGCACCTGGTATTTCCCTATTTACCTTTTCGTATGTAAAAAGTTGAGCCCTTTCAATTTTCACGAAATAAATAGGATTATGTGAATATGTAAACATTATGAGATTACAAACAATAACCAGTACATTTCGAATTATCGTAAAAACAAATGATTTTGTCGAAATTTTACAAGTGACAAAAAATGCTCAAAAATGATTGAACACTTGAAGAAAAATAGAAAGGAAGTCATTAAAGCGCACGCACAAAAAAAAATATGGGGGTAAGTGTGTACTTGAACCCCCGTATTTTGAATATTTGACAGTTATTTTCTGTTTTGTTTTCCTCACATGATGTAACTCTTTGTGCTGAAGTAATGTACCAATTTTGAGATCAATATCTCATTAAATACGCGAGTAATTAAAAAAAAAACAGTTTTTAATTTCCGACTTTGACACCCTGTATATCGAAAATGAAGGGCTAAAATGGAAAATGGTATGTAGAAACTCATATTGTCTTTGTTCAAGGAATATATGGTTAATGGATTGACCTCCTTTTAGTATATACCCTAAAAAAAGATAAACATGGGTCAAAAATTTGTGTGATTGTATATTTCTATGATAAAATTTAATGACTGTAAGATTTTTGAGTTATACTTTTTAATGATGATTCTAGTTAATATACCATCAAGGAAAGGTTTTTCAAAAGCTGTAGCTGTTTAACAAACCCTTGAAATGCATTAGTGCGAATTTTTATTTTACGATATACAGTGTCATTCATAGTCGGCATCATATAGGAAAAACTTATAATAATAATTTATTTCGAAATTCCACTTGGGCGTGAGGTCACGTGACTATTGCCAAGTATTTGTCGAAAGTTACATTAATTCAAATTATTCGCTGAAAATAGGCTTATTAATTTGTTCGAATAAAAAACTGACATTAGACAAATTCTTTCATCTCGTTACCAAGAGAAATTTATACGATGAAAAAAGCTTTTGTGTTTTTACTGTTGACAAAACTATTTCACTCTAGTAGCTTTATCATGCTATAGATATTTTATTTCAGTATTTATAGTACTATTAAACGTGAATTCAATTGCTATCATCAATTCTCACCTGAATTTATCACCCATTGCTGACTAAGTTCCTCTGACTTCGGAAATTTGAAAAGATGTAGATTCGGGTTGCTTCTCTTGGAGTTTTCACAATTATGAAAACAACACTTGTTTCCACGTCCAACCATTTTCAATTGTTCAATATCAAAACTGTGATTTCACTTTCAACACTTTCAATAACACTTCAAATCAAATGACATATGGGAATGAGAATCATTCCATATTTATTTTCATACCTGAATATCCAACCCTATTTCTTATTTATTCCCCACTACGACCAATCAATTCGTTACTCTTGAAGGGGGTGATGGTAAGTTGGGTGCCAGAAGATGAAGCAAATTAAATACAAAATTCAATACCTTTTTAATGGAAAGTAAATTGCTTCCCAACCACAATCTCTCTTTTCGTAGAAAGGAGTAATCAAAAATCATGATGGTATTTAAATAATATCTATGAATATGTTTGGTTGAAATATTCATCACTTGTGTATTTTTTCCTCCCTCAAGTTATTTCAATGTTACAATTTCATTTTACTGGCTCACTCTTGAAATATTCTGAACTGACCACGAAGGGTCCGAATTTACTTTTTTTTTAGATCGATAATTGACGTACTATTGATCCACCCTGTATTATAGAAAAATGGAAAAACCTATTGATGACTGAATTGCTCAAATTTTAGAGATTCAAAAAGTGTAGATTCTGGCTGGCTGTCACTGTTGGAATTCTCTAAATTGAATATCCCACTTGACTCGCCCTGTATATTCGATAATAGTTTCTAGTTATAGATTATTTGATATAGTTTCATAACGATATCAAATAATATTTATAGCTATTGTATGCTATTATATAGAACTCGAACTCAAGCAATCGAGGTGGACGTATATACAGAGTGGTCCAGGTCAAACGTCATTAAATTTGATAGGCGACAGAAAAACGGGAAAGAAGTAGACTTTCATGATAAAACTCTGGTTGAAAATGCTTCCTAACAGAGATACAGGGTGTCAGAGTTTAGACACCTCGATTGAGTTCTCGGCGGCCGCGTTAAGTTTGGAATCATCAAAATCAACAGTGTAATGTGTACCTACTTCATTAACTTTATTGAAAACCATACTAGTACAGCCTGTACAAAACCTTGAAAATTTTAGCCTTCTTGATGCAACCCTCTAAATTCGAATAAGTATCTTGAAAACGAAGCCATAAATCAAACATTTGCAAAGGTATTTTTATTCTCTCAATCGAACAAGAAATCCAAAAATTTAATCTTTTTTAAAATATTTAGTGAAGAATTTCCTCGAATAACCTCAATCATTACTCAGAGATGAAATACATTAGTATCTGTGCGAAATTTGATCAAAATCGGTCGAGTGGTTTGGAAGTAATGATGAGAAATCTAATTTCTGCCCACAAATTTGACACCCTTTATCTTTGATGGGAAGCATTTTTAACCAAAGTTTTTCCATGAAAGTCAACTTTTCTCCATTGTTTTATCGCTTATAAAATTTAATGACGTTCAACCTGGAACACCCTGTATATATGTAGCTCCCAGATTCTCTCGATTCTGTAGATATGGAAAGGTATAGACTTAGGTATAGTAATCTCTTGAAATTATCGGAATCGAGAGAGTTGCTCAGATTTTAGATATTTGAAAAAGTGTTGATTCCGGCTGTCTTTCTTGGAATTCTCAAAATTAATATCCCATTTGACTCACTCGCCCTGTATATTCGATAATGGTTTCCAGTCAGAGATTATTTGATTTGGTTTCATAACGATATTAAATGTGATTTATAGCTATCATAATGCTATTATAGAACTAGAACTCAGGCAATACGAAGAGAACGTACTTATTATAGCCCCCTGTATATATTATGGAATATCCTGATGGCGACTGATGAGTTGATCAGATTCTGTCGATTCGGAAGATTTGAGAAGGTGTAGATCTCGGTGTAGATTTAGTTATCTCTTGAGTTCATCGGAATCTCTTCAACTCACCCTGTATATTTATGTCATGATTTGAAATTACAGATTATATCAATCATTGTAGGTATCAATGTTTTTGAATAAGATACCTGCCGTCAACGAACTCGAGCGATCAAAAAGGTCGTACGCATATTGACCCACCCTATATCATAGAATAACCCATTGACATACCATAATTATGTTATTCAAATTCTCGATATTTTGAAATTTTAAAAATGTTCGATCTACAATTTTACTTACTCTGTATATTCGATTAGTTCCAGCTATTTAGATATTTCAATTTATTTTTAATCTATGTTTAAAGTATACGTTTCAAAATCAAGTTTCAATTCATCTTGACCTACCCCGTAGAAAAAACAATGAAGACTTCCTGAGATTCAAGTTTGTTCAGATGCATGCCTATACACGCGCGTGAATAAAAATAATCATCAAAGGAACCATATCTACCTCATACAAGTTATTTCCCTACCTGTAAAGACCCTTTCATGTTGCATAGATTATTTTTAATCTATGCATGTTGTGAGTCATAAATCATGATCCTTATCTTGATGGAGGTCGAGCTCGAGGCCGAGCCTAAGCCACGCCCAAATACTATTATTCTTTCACAATTTCACTACGAGTCGATCGATAAAAGAGATAGAGCGCCATCTGACATTTGAAGATATTACTAATGTGAATTTGGCGTACAATTCATGAGCGTTACCAATTTGTACAGGGATTGTCTATCTATTGTTTTTTTAATCTATGTACTCATGGTCAAATCGTAATTCGTTCAATCAGTAATATTACACTTGTTTTTCAACGAAACACCCAGTGAATTTCTCTGTTTCGTATTTTTACGAATTTTCAGAATCGAGTGAAGGGGCGAATCCAGGAAGGGGGGAGGGACATGGGGCCATGACCTACTTCTCGCGAACCTCAAGATGTATAAATGTAGGTATACTAGATACCAGAAAAAATCTGTGTTTGTCTTCATAGCCTCCCACCGGCGAAACACATTAGAAATGAAGTTACAATAATTTTCGAAAGAACTGAATAGTTCTTATTCATCATTCGGTTGCTCCTTCACGAACAACCCTCAGAAGTCTTCAAGAGACTTGTGCGAGCAAGAAATGACGGGGATCTTACCTTTTAACGTGTGATCCCATTCCTTTTTGAGGCCATCAGAGGAATTTCTGCGGCCGTGATGGGAATCGAACCCACCTATTGGCAATCCAACGTGGATAGAATATTGACGGCTACCGTTACCACCGATACAACAAGGACAGTAGACTCTGACGTAAACAGCTCGCGACGTCACCAAGAGAGGCCAGTGTTTTATTTTATCGCTTGTCGACTAACGCGTCAGTTCGTGTTAATTCATCGGTGATTCACGTATGTTTTTGAAACGATCCCGAATTCTTTTGTTGTTCATTCATCAAAATAATTGGCGAAAAAATTACTGTTTTGTGAAATGTTTTGTGTTGTGATCGGCGAAATAACAATGCCTTTCAAGTGTTGTGTTCCCTTTTGTCGGGGGAATTATTTGGGTGGTTCAAAAGTTCATGCTTTTAGTTTCCCGTTGGACGAGGAGCTATCGAAAATGTGGGTATATGCAATTCACCGCGAGGATTTTACTCCATCTAAGTTCAGTAGTACACAGAGCTTGATCCATAATGATGAATCAATAATAGAAGACAATTACTCTCTCATAAAAAGTATAAGTAGATGCAAAATAGAAAAGGTTTGATTGTGCAGTTAGTTTTGTATTCGTATATTATAGTCAACAAAATCATCTCTGAATTCGAGGAAATTTTCTTGAATGTTCATAATAAACGGGCATTCTCAATTCTCATTCTCAAATTTCTTCCTGAAATCGGTCATTTGCCTCGTGGCAATGAATGCAGAATTCATTCCACTGATCAAATTGCAACTATCATGTTAACATGAACTGCAAACACTCTACTCAAAAAGGTAAAACTGCATTCATCATGATATTTATCATGAAGATATTTGACTAAAAAGTTCCAAATTTCACCTTCTTTTTCACCTGTCTTCTGGATGGCATTTAGAACTAATTTCCCTTCTCATTTCATCATATTGGACAATTTATATATAATTCAAATATAAATATGATTTTCTTTCGATCAATCTCACGATAAGTTTATGTTCTGCGGGTCCTGTATAAGTAGGTGTGAAGTTTCCCTTCACTACAATTTTTGCCAATATATTTAATCCGAATGGGTTGCTGTAGGTGGATATTTGTGTTTCATCCTGGTTTTTGCTTTAAAACTTCGTTTTTCCATAATATAATCGAATTGGGTGCGAAGAAGGGCTCAGTTGACGACTGGCATCCTTTTTTAACCGGAAGCCCTTCAAAAAACAGCAAAATCGACTCAATGATGATCTGAAACTAAAATCGAAATACGCGGTCGCCTTATAGCGCTATAAGCGCTCGTCGTTTTGAGCCGCTGGTTAGGCCTCACTAAGTGACGTCACCCACGAAGCATGCAGGCCTTGTTGTATCGGTGGTAACGCGGCTACGCTGGCCACATGATATGTTATTTTTATTTTTTCCTGATCTAGAATATTTTCGGATTACAGTTATGTATGGTGAGTTGACTTTTCAGCAGAATTAGTTGAAATAAAAAAATTATGCTCAGTTGACAAGATATCCAATTTCGGAATGCATCCGAGGATGTGACAGTAAATATCTCTGAAAGGAAAGTCGAAATTCCATTTGCCAGATATATCAACATTAAATGTGATTTTGAAGTGTGCTGTAACAAAAAAGAAATATTCAAACTGGCCTTCGTTATGTTCACACACAATTCACACAACATAGGAATTTTCTTCCGTGCGCTCAAAGAGATAAAAAAAAACTTAGAGGGGTGACTTGTGATAATCAAGTAGCTTTAGCACTTCATTCAACATTTGATATTTTCGCAGAAGTTCCACATAATCTGAATGCTTGAATGCAAAGTTACAGTGTAAACATAGTCGAAGTTTTTTGTTCTGCCTGTTGTGTGCGTTATTGCTGCTTCGATGTCGTCTCATATGGTCATTGCGATCTATAATACTTCAATAGTATCAATGTGAGATGATAGAATACAGAGATGCAGTGTGCAGACCGATGAAGTCGATGTATCCCCACTTGCCTGTTGTACTCGATGAAAACA